CCCACACCCAGGTGCCCCTTCTTTTTGGCGTGGTGTCAGTCCGGTTACTGATTACCGGCAGGCAACAACATGGCAATCAAAATCACAATTACAAAGGCTCCTCCTCCGCATGTGGTTTGTTGCTTGTCGCCGGGAGACTCCCACTAGTACCCAGTCGGTACAAGTTTATTCACCGCTTACTGAGGCAGGGTTAGGCGGGTGTTAAAAAAAAAAGGAAAAAAAAGAGGCGTGATTTTATAGTCCAGTGTCCACCTATATGTCCATCCCTCTCCATCCCTCTCCATCCTTCACCTCTCCCTTCCTGTCATCCTTAACCCACTCTGACATGTATCCTTCTACTCTTGCTCTTTCTCGCTTCATGTATCTTAGCCCCATTATTTTTTTATTTTTATTTTTTTTTCACAGTTAACAGAATGAACATTTGCTCTCTCTCTCTCTCTCTCTCTCTCTCTCTCTCTCTCTCTCTCTCTCTCTCTCTCCATTGTTTATAATCTCAATTCATAAACAAAATCTGGATGACCTGACAAGGTCCCTACATTTGTGAGAAGAAGCCTTTTTTTTTTTTCTTCTGAAAACATGCTCCAATCTATTCGTGGGGAGCAGCACGTGCTGGGAATCGGGCCCAGCGTCCCATATGAAGACATGTAAAAACAATTTATGAACAAATTGAGGTACCGGGGCCCTTACCGGGTTCCGGCTTGAGAGTATCCTCCAAGATCATGAACAAGCTACCGAAAATCGGGATAGATGATGAGAAAACTACGAATCTTTTTTCACGATCGCTAAACACCTCCTGAAATCCACCGCAATTTTTCAAACACTCAAGTATCTAAGGGATTTCCAACAGATCGTAACAAAGCTCACCAAAACTGACTTATTCTCTGACAAACTCATCCAGGCCTCACGCCTCCTATCCGCTAGGTTACAGAGCAACGCGGCACATTCCAGCTCCGACCAGTGTCGTCTTGTGTCAGCGACCCCACCTATCCGCTAGGTTACAGAGCAACGCGGCACATTCCAGCTCCGACCAGTGTCGTCCTGTGTCAGCAACCCCAAGCTGTCCCTTAGGATGCCCCCGCATAGAATCCCCAGATCTCTCTACAAGGCCTCATGCCCTCACCTTCGGCAAGTTACAAGGCATCACCCCGGCTCCGGCCAGCATCGTTCTGGCGTGGAACAACCACGGATCCTGAATATAACAGTCTAATTCCTGTGCAGCTTGGTACAAACCACCAACAGTCCCTCAGAGTCTTGAGAGCTTCTTCAAATTACCAGGAATAACGAGGGTGCTTGTTTTGAAAATTCCAGAAAGAATCAGAAAAAGTCCCAACCAAATACAAACAAAGGATATAGAAACTACCCCCCTTTCCCCCTCATCCCCCTGCCCCCCCGCTGCCTCCACCGAAAAGGACCGCCCCTGATCACGAACACTCCTCATCGGCCCCAACTTGGGACAGACCCGTTTCCCCGCCCTACTTCCACAAAGGCATCCAGTTTCCACCCAAAGTATGTATCTGCCAACCCCTTGCCCTTATCTTCCACTGCTGGGATATGATGTCGGCCCATACATCTCCCCCAGCCCCTGAATAGAGCATCCCCCGAAATCTGTCCCGTCTCCCTTCAGGGCAATCACCTCCCTCCTTGCGAAGCCCTTGCAGAGTAGAGCTCTCCCCCTCAGAACCAACCTACGAACCCACCAGAAGTAATTTGTTTACGCTTGAGAGGAGAATCAGAATTTCGGACGTTGCTGTGGATTATTTCCTCCCCCTCCCCTCCATCTCCCTCTGTCGCTCCGCTGCCTCCACCAAAAAGGAATGTCCTTATCGGCCCCAACTTGGGACATACCTGCTTCCTCCCCTTACTTCCACTAAGGCATCCAGTTCCACCCAAAGTATGCATCATCCAACCCCTCAACCCTATCTGCCTCCGCTGGGATATGATGCCAGCCCATACATCTCTCCCAGCTTCAGAATAGGGCATCCTCCAAAAATCTGCCCCCACTCCCTCCAGGGCATTTCACCCCCCATCTTGAGAAGCCCCTGCGGAGTGGAGCTCTCCTCCTTAAAACCCCAACCCCCCACCCACACAAAAATAATTCATTAGTGCGCCCAAAGGGGAATCCGAAATTAATAGTGAAGAAAAGAAAAAACGGGGAGTTTAGGAAATAAAATTCCTAAGATATGAGTGGAAGAATCGGAATTTTTTTTAAATTATGATGGAGAAAGGTAGATAAGATTTTCTTTATTTTTTATTTTTGGATTTGTTGATGACGATGAACAGCACCCTGAAGATAATGATGATGAGGATGATGGTGACGACCGACTCTCCTGCTGATGTGAAAGGCAAACAATGCCTTGAAGAGCAGCATCTAATGACGACAAAATATGATGATGATAGTAATGATGAAAATGATGACAGAATGATGATGCTGATCATACTGAAGAGCAGCACCAACCGCGCCCTATGATTACAAACTGCTGCTGCTGCTGCTGCTGCTGCTGCTGATGATGATGATGATGATGATGCATCATGATGATGATGATGTCGGTGATGATGATGATGATGATGATGATGATGTCGGTGATGATGATGATGATGATGATGATGATGATGTCGGTGATGATGATGATGATGATGATGATG